ACGGAGCTGATTTGATGGGAAATAGCGATGAGATGTTGGCATACCCGTGCGCTTTTGTCGTCCAGCGAGGCCATTTTTCCTTCATGGATGGGGAGAGAAAATAAAGAAAAAAGTGACTGTGTGAATTTGCAGGCTTTATGTTTACTATGCAAAATCCCACACACCCTTGACTATGCGCGTGAGCCTCTGCTTCATCACACGTTTCCTGCTTTTATCAGGTATACTGTGGTGTGAGTGGGAACAGACGTTCGGTTAGTGGCTGAGAGCTTTGTTTTCTGTTTGTGCATAAAACAAGTTGACAGCACATCGTTAGAGCCACGTCTGACTTTGAGGAGGGGGGGGGGTGGTGTGTGTGGCAAGAGCAAAAAAGTAGCCTTGTTGAAGTAATCAGACAGATAATACCATTCTTTGATATAATTTGTTTTCTGAACTTAATGTGTGGTTTTGAAACACACACAGGCCTAAGTTATATCTACTACTATAAATATTCCCATTACATGTTAAATTAATCTATCTAACTTCGCTTATATACATAAACATGCATCTTTTAAGGTTTTTGGTTAAACATTTCAAGGGACTATCAATAAAGCCATATTTAAGAATATGTAACAACATACTGCTGGTGTTTTGGACATTAGCAGTAGATATTTATAACTCTATTTCCCTAAATCAAGGTTGAACCTCCACGCTTATGATACCAGTATATAAATAATGTGCTCAAGTATTCTTCCTTCATTCCCCCATATCAGGAAAGTAACTTGCATTGTTTGGTTTTCTTATGTCAATTTAGAAAAAATTAATATTGCACAGACCAAAACAAAAATAGCCAAACTTTTATGCAAAACCTGTGATTTAAGTATTGTGAGCACAAGGTCTTGTCGGAAAACCGGTGTCCAGAGGGAACTGAGAATCATTGTGATTAACGGTGCACACTGCAGCAGTTATGGTGCATTATTTATTGGGCATCATAAACTATGTGAATAGTGCATTTTCGGGCCACGGGTGTGGTGACGTTGGGTCCTGTTTCCGTGCCAGGTGCTGTCCAGTCAGCTTGCCATGATGCATAGAGGATTGTTCTTCTGGCCGGGGCCTGTAGGGAGGCCACTGTGGCGTGAAGGAAAGATGAGGGGAGGGAGAGGTGCACGGGAGAGTATAAACAGAGAGGGAAAATGAATGTGAGGTAGTGTAGAGGTAGGAGCAAAAAGCCGATATGGCGGAAATGACCGAAGGACTGAAAGGACACGATTTAGCAAGGAACTGAAGAGGGGGTTAAGAGGAGGAGGAGTGGACTGCTAGCACCCAACGGGGGGTCCATATTTACCATGGCAACCATCACTGGGCTTTTTCCCTGCTGTTGTATTAATACGGCTCGTGCCCTCCCCTCACTGCTCATTCAAGTGTGCACGTGCACATGCGCACTCCCACACAAAGAAACCTCATTCCAAACTTTCCATATTTATCACTGAATGTTATGATATGTACCTAATAATCTTTTGTAAACTCACTCAATAATTAACGGAGCATGTCGCTTTGGAAATTTGCATAATTGGTCTTGTTTATTGGGCATATACTATAAGACTGAGCTTTTAAATGATGTTTCAATCCATAATAATAACTAGATAAAACAAGAAACATAAAAATTGGCTGAGATCCGATTTTGGTACCAACTTGGCTTGTAAAATTGTAGCTCTTACACACAATCAATGTAACTCCATTGGTTTTGTCCCTTTTAAACACGTCAAAAGTGCATCCAGATGGTTAAAAACTTTGTTTGATAAACGTGGAGGATATATTAGGAGGACATTGAAGACTAACAGTTTAAATATATACTGAAAACATATACTGACGGAATGAGCTATCATTTTAGACAGTGATGACAAAAAGTTTGACCTCAGAAAATAAGACAAAGGTACTTAATTACTAACACAAAAGGCTGTGAATCTCTTTATCTGCTTAAGTCACGTTATTTAACATTTTCTCATGATCTAGGATAACTGAACACTTAGTCCTAATTTAAATGCTTGGTGCAAAGTGGGCTGCGGGACTTTTCTATGAGGCGTCGCCCGCTTACCCAGAGTTCCACTGGGCTCATGTCCAGCTCCTCACCCATAGCCACGGTTATGGGTGAGGAGCTGCCATGTGATTGGCCCGCTGCGTCCGGCCCCGACGAATGACAGACGGCCTCCGACCAAACTGGAAGCGGCCGCGCGTCACGTGCGGGCCGGACTGCATGTCAGCAGTTGTGTGCGTGAGGGGCTCGGAGCTGGTGTTTGTTTGTCTCTGCGTTCACAGGCCTGAGGAGCCGCAGCTGGCTCAGGGGAGGCAGAGTGTGTGTGTGTGTGTGTGTGTTGTTGCTTTGAGCGCTGTTTGCTCTGCTGCCGTTGCCATACCCAGGCCTGACATTGCTGATTTTATAGGTGTGCGTGCGTTGACTTTGTTGTGTTGAGGTCATGCTCATCTGGTCAGCTCTGTGTGTTGTGTATCTGTGGGAGGACGAACCTCCACACATTTTTTTGCATCACAGTTCTTAGGCTTTTGAGACGGTACATTTCCAACCAATGAAGATACCACGATGACATTTAAAGAACTCTCAACTCGAGCAATGGCAATGAGAAAATGCTCACTCATTGTAGCGTTGAAGACACTTATGATCCACAGGCTGCTAAGGTCACATGATTTGCACCGTCCTCCAGACTATCAGTGATTCATCTTGACATTTGCTCGGGGCGTTGTCGAAGGAAGAACCGCTTCCATCAGGGTCGAAATGTTTTAGGTTACCACTCAGAACCACTCTGTATTGATTCACCGAGACTCTTCCCTTCAAGAGGACGAGTGGAACGAACCAAGTCAGCAAAATATCTCTCGCAGCAGAGCAGGTTTGTGTGCTGTGAGGGTGTGTGTGTCCTGCCTTATCAACTCTCATACGTCTGTGGTAGCGCGCAGATGATTTTAGCACCGTTAAACTCTGAAATGTGCATTCACCTCTGAGTTTGTGCTCTGAAGCCCTGCTGGGATATTCTACGTGGGGCGATCCGTAACAGGCTGTTCATTCCCACAGTTGTCAACTGAGGGATGTTCACCACAGTTTCCAGCCCCGTTTATTGATGTCTCTACCATATCAATTCTGTTCTGAATATCATTAAAGAATAGAAGTTGCTCCACGGCCCAGAGCCCTCCTTAATAACCTTTCACAGAAAAAGACGCTTTCACTGTTACTGTTAAAGCTGTGGCTTTTTAGCCCAGTTACTTCCTAGTACACAGCATTTGTGGACGTTATCTTATTTGCGGATATAGCAATGCAAAAAGCTCCTATATTATTCCATGATGTACACGTGTATTAGTCTAATACTCTCTATTGTTCATGTCTCTGATTACAGTTGCTGTATGTCACACGGATGTACCTAAAAATAGAACAACGGCTTCCAAATATGTTGCCATTAGACCATTTTTAAGTTTTAGACATAGAGATAAATGTATGCAATGGATTTATTTTTATGCCAAGATACCTGTTGAGTTGCTTGATGTTGTTTTTTAGCAATAAACTGCACCTGCACTGAATCTTTATTTAAACCAGAAAGAAATTAGATGCTAACTTCAACATTGGACCCTTTATCATGTCATGTGTTTCTCTACTTGTTTAGTTTTTTTAAAGCATTTTAGCTAGAATGACCTCCTGTATAGAAGTCACAAATTCCAAACAGTTGCTGTGCTGAGATCTAAGATGAAATTGGGATAATTTAGATTTTTAGCATGGTTAGGAATTCAGTTTTGATATATTACTCTATTGCATGGTTTTTTTGTTGACTGATTCCAAACAAAAAAGGAGAACAAACAAAAAGATGTCCTGCACAGAACACAAGTTCTAGACTATAATTAGACACTAATGCAGTGTCATCTCCTGATTCTGTTACACAGAAGAAAGACAGATGATGAATGTCCCATTTTCTGGCCTTGTTTAAGAGACTTCAAGTCTGTGTATCCCTGTTGGGCTCTATCTAAATGGGTTACACCACCACTGTCTGTGGCTGCTGCAGTTTATAATGATGCCACATGTTGGTCAGAGGGAGACTACATGCCATTTTCTCAGCCCCACATCAATTCACCCATTCCCTTTATCCACCCAACACAAATACATAATGGAGCAGACACAGATCTCACAGATCTTACCGTTGTCCGATTGCCATTTTGTCTGGTAATGATCACGAAGAACCATTTTACAAAGGATTCTGGCTGATCACAGAGTGGTTTAGAGGCGGTGGTAATCTGCTAAACTGTACATTAGAGAGTTCACGGAGACTAAAGCCAGGAGCAGGATGGTGTTGTGATCTTGTCGTTGGAACGATCCGCCTGACTTTTCATTAACTTCTGCTCCCTCTGATGTTAGCCTGAAATCTGCCTTTGTTCCCGCTGACTGACTCAATCCATGAATGAGTCATAAGTCACAGCCTTGGGACGCAGCAGGAGGGGATAAGTAAAATGGTTTGTTTTGTAACAACAGCCACGTTTTTTTGTTCCTCTCACAGCCGCTCAGCAGTCTGCGATGATGATCCAGCACTTTCCCCCTCGCTTGTGATGTGAAAAAAAGGCTGGATAAAAGGGAGTGAAAATGAAAGAATAAATTGTTGTTTCAACTCAAAGAACAAATAAGAAAAATGAGCTGTTTTGCTACGCAGGAGCTGCTTTGACACTAGTTTATGAATCATCACAACACATTTAGCGACAGGTTGTGTTGTTATTATTTGATGATCAGCTCATTTATTAATATTGCCAGGATCTGAACCTCCACTGGACATGATTTTTGCTCATTTAAATGTTCCAGACTGAGATTAAAGCAGAGAGATTCATGTTATTTTTGTATTGACAACACTCTGGATGTCACAATCACTATGATCATTGACCCAAATGAAGAATGCGGCTGGCGTTTGATCTACAGTTAAACTTAAATTAGACTTAAGTTAAGCAATAAAAAGAAAATGAAGGAGCAGCTATCCATAGCCCAAAATCTAAACATCACACAGACCATCATAAAACTGAACAGTCTGGACCTGCTAAGTCTTGTCCTATGCTTTAATATAATGGGAATGTAAGAAAGAAAACAGTGCAGAGGAATGAGATGATAAACACAGCACAGAAAAATGGCAGCCAGTGACTCTGGCCAGACTGAGTGAAATAACCTGGAATTAACTGAGTAGCAGACATGAAAAGCACCGGCTGAATGATCTAAATACGATGGAAAGGAGCTTTGGTTTTCTTTTGTAATCTCCCTGGAAACCCTGGATCATCCTTTATCAAAGAAAATTACATAATTCCATCCTAAAATTACTTTAACATCTATCTGCCCATACTAACTGTGATCTACAATGTCTTTTAACTATGTTCAAGTTCTAGGAAAAAGTAGAAAAAATGTAGACAATGGTCATATTTTGCCCATCCAGCCTGTGCTGGAAGTTAAAGAACACCAATCTGTTTATCTAGGGCTCATACAGTTTCATCAGTTTGCTTTAGTTTTGGTTGATCATGACTCCAGATGTGTCATGTCTGTCCTGGAGGAGTCAGATAATCATTCCTGGTCTGTAGGATCTACTCGATGCCAAGTACTAATTCTGGCTGATACGCAGATTGATTTTTATAACCCCTTGATTTTAGCATAAATAAAGATAGAGGTCATGTAAATGTGAGCAGATGATTTGCAACTAACATTTATATTTTAATTTGGACTCTTTGCCAACGCTGTCTTCTTAATTTGGTGCCAAATGAGTAAAACTAACAGCGAGCAGAAAAATGTTCAAACACTGGAAAGACGAGGGGAACTGCTGCATAACACATGGTCTTAAAAAAAAAATCAAATATCAATATTGATTAGAGGATGTTTGAAATATAAAATTCAGTTATTAGTTTCATGTTTCCTCATGGACGAGTTTTAAATGTTTTAACATGGCAATCACTGCTTCTTTTGCTGTTCCAGACTGTGTGTTTTTCAGAATTGTCCCCCTGGTGACATCCGACTGAACTTTTGAACTACGGCACACAGTCACGAATCTTAAATCTAATGAGACGGTAATGAGCTGTTTGGTGACATCGACTTCTGCCGTGACTAGACCAAAATAAAGTCCCTGTCTTGTGCAGAGTGCAGTCACAGTGCACAATGCTGCTGGGGCTGAAGTCAGATAACGTCAGTGATGACTTCGATGGGGGAATTTCACTGGTCCATTCTGAAACTCTGTCAATGCCTTGATACAAAAGCAGGATAGTGGAGACCCCCCCCCCCCCTTCATCTCCTGCCAGCTCAGTCACTGGGGGATGTGGTGAGCATGAGATAAAGGCAAATGAAGGGAGTGACAGAGGAAAAGGATTTAGGATAGAAATGGAAGACGGAAGGGTTCAGATTGGGGAGAAATAGGGGCTGTATAAGCAGCTGAGAGTAGGAGGACTATTGCATGAGGAGCGAGGAGACAGAAAAAAGGTGCCATGTGAGGGTTAGAAGGGGGATGGGGGGAGGTTTGGTTGGTGTTTTTCCTCCCTCTGTGCATGTTCGTCTGCCATTGGAGGGATGGCCAGAGTGGAGGAGCAAGAATGTTGAGTGCCAGAGCTGCAGATGGCACTCCCTCTACTGTACCACTCACATTGTACTGTCCTCTCCATGTTAAATGACCTAAAAGACAGATTTGAAGAATGGGAGAAGGTGAGTCAGCAAGGGGGTGTGGATGGATTTAAATGGGGGAGGAACTGGACAGTCCTTTTCAAATACAGTATAATAGGATTATAGGACAGAATAGGGAGGAATTTAAAAGAGGGCAAAAACCAGAGGACGGTGAAATATGTGCCTTTCTGACCTCTGAGCAGTTTTCAAAGCTAGATTTATTTTCTCGGTGTTAAATGTTCTGCGAAATCCAGTTCTGGCCAGGTTGATTTACAGACAGGCTCTTGTGATTGCTGTCATCACAGTAAATGGAGTAATATTGGCATTTTGATTGAGTTTATATATATATATGTGTGTGTGTGTGTGGTGTGTGTGTGTGTGTGTAGTGTACATACTGTACAGTATGTATATATTTATACACATATAAAACTTCCATAAAATGAAAAAAAACGTAGAGAACTTTTGTCATGACAATTGTGTGTATGATGCTTTTGATATGTAAATTTTCCCCTGAAGTAATATTTTGTAAAATAAATTGAAAGTGTCCGTCAAAGCACTTTAGTCCCTGTTTGAAAGACATGACATCAGCTGAGCAGGAATGGAGCCCTTTCACAGACACCCTCAGAGAGAGTGAGAGAAATGCAGAATATTCATCCTCTGTAAGCCATCAGTAATGAGAATTTGCTG